TTTAATTGAATTGAATTGAATTAACTCGGAGACGAGCAGAAGCAAACAGAGAACAGGAGGTTGAATAAATAACGTTTTGTCTTGTTTTTAGGAAGGGCAACTTGACCTGTCTTAAGAAATGTATATCTGCCACTCCGAGCTGTCTTCTGAGTAGTAATAGGAGCTTGAGAAATGTATTTGCTGTGAGCCGTCGTGCTTACATAAGTGCACTGATGCAGGGATACGGGATGAGCTCGTTGGAGTGTTTGAGCGTGTGCGCCACAGAGACAATAGTGATTAGCTCCAGGCTTGCAAGTCAATTAGCCGCCTTTGTTTACTTCCACACAGAGTGCCTTCCATTGTTTTACACTAAACCCTCCAGATAGTACAACAGCTGCTCTTTTCTTCTGTGCTCTTGTTGTTTTAATCTCTCCAAACATCCACTCTCAATCTCCCCTCTCATTTATCAGACGTCACTTCAGCTTTGCGTCCCTTAAACTGACTGCCCTCGTCTCACATTTACTGCACCGCTTAACACATTCTCTCCTCCTCCGTGTCTCTGTCTTCACCCCCACCCTCTTTGGGTATCTGATGCCATTATTCAGCTCGGTTTGAAGCTCTCCGTCTTCTTTCTGGGTGAATCGGGCCATTTGGTTGGAGTACAGTAAATAGTCAGCTTCCTCTGGGGCTTTTGCACCGATTCACTACCATCCGTTGAGCCTTGAACCATTTTTCATTTTGTCCTCTGCTGCTGAAGCTCTTTTGTGAGTGTGAGAGACGGAGGGTAGTAACTCTTGTTATTTTTGTCTCATGCTTGAGTACTCACACACACGCACTCTTCACTCTCACTGTACCTACTCTCTCCTCCCCCTCGCCTAATATCTCTCCATCTGTGTCCCCCCCCCCCATGTCTGTTTCTCTCCATAAAAAAACACTTTAGACGTTGTTTAATCACTCCACAGTGACCTTAGGAGGAGCTGTTGATGGTCTTCTGTTTCTATTTGGTCATGAACTCATTTAATGTGAATGGTGATACTCTAAAGAGGCAATTCATTGAAATGTCTTTTCTTTTTCTTTTCTTCTTTCAAGGCTGGTCGCAGCAGAGGGTTCAGAGCCTCGCTTCATGAAGGAAGAAGAAGAAGATGAAGAGAGCAGTGAGGAGGAGGAAGAGGAACTGAGTCCTGAAGAACAAGGTAAAACAAAGTTTATTTTGTTATTTGATCACAGACACACCTACCAGCGCCCTCATTCATCAGTGGAACATCGCCATAATGTCGTGTTGTTGTTTCAACATTAGATTAGATAGATTCAGCAGCTGAATGAGAGAGGTGTATATCAGTGTCCATGGCAACTGCTGTTTGTTGCTAATGGTGGCGAGTGCATCCCACAGTTCACCTGTTTATTTATACACCTCCACCTTAATACGAAGTGTCCTCTGCAGCTGCGAGGGAGACTGAACGCAGAGTGGCAGCGGAGTGCTGGTGGAGAGCGATCGCTTCGGGAAAAGGGCTCGAGTGTTCGTGACCTTTCGCTGACTCCCCTCAAGACACACACACACACACACACACATATAATATCAGTATGCCTTTGACCGTTCCCTGACCTTGCCCGTCTACGTGCGCTCTCATACAGACACACACTCCTCACTCAGAGATGTCAGTCGAGCTGCATTGCAGACACACACACACACAC